TGTGTACGTGTGTGTAGGTGTGTGTGTCGAGTAGGTGTGTGTAGGTGTGTGTACGTGTGTGTGTGTACGTGTGTGTAGGTGTGTGTGTGTGTAGGTGTGTGTGTACGTGTGTGTAAGGTGTGTGTGTGAGTGTACGTGTGTGTGTGTGTGTACGTGTGTATAGGTGTTTGTGTGTGTACATGTGTGTAAGGTGTGTGTAAGGTGTGTGTGTACGTGTGTGTGTAAGGTGTGTGTAGGTGTGTGTGTAAGGTGTGTGTGTGTAGGTGTGTGTGAGTGTGTGTAAGGTGTGTGTACGTGTGTGTGTGTGTAGGTGTGTGTGTGTGCGTGTGTGTGTGTGTAGGTGTGTGTGTAAGGTGTGTGTGTGTGCGTGTGTGTGTGTGTACGTGTGTGTGTACGTGTGTGTGTACGTGTGTGTACGTGTGTGTGTGCAGGTGTGTGTGTGTAGGTGTGTGTGTGTGTGTAAGGTGTGTGTGTACGTGTGTGTGTAAGGTGTGTGTAGGTGTGTGTGTAAGGTGTGTGTAGGTGTGTGTGTAAGGTGTGTGTGTGTACGTGTGTGTAGGTGTGTGTGAGTGTGTGTAAGGTGTGTGTAGGTGTGTGTGTAAGGTGTGTGTGTGTACGTGTGTGTAGGTGTGTGTGAGTGTGTGTAAGGTGTGTGTAGGTGTGTGTGTGTGTGTGTAGGTGTGTGTACGTGTGTGTGTAAGGTGTGTGTAGGTGTGTGTGTAAGGTGTGTGTGTGTACGTGTGTGTAGGTGTGTGTGAGTGTGTGTAAGGTGTGTGTACGTGTGTGTGTGTGTAGGTGTGTGTACGTGTGTGTACGTGTAGGTGTGTGTAGGTGTGTGTAGGTGTGTGTGAGTGTGTGTAGGTGTGTGTAAGGTGTGTGTACGTGTACGTGTAGGTGTGTGTGCGTGTGTATAGGTGTGTGTGTGTACGTGTGTGTAGGTGTGTGTGTAGGTGTGTGTGTGAGTGTGTGTAAGGTGTGTGTACGTGTGTGTGTGTGTGTGTAGGTGTGTATGTGTGTGTGTGCGTGTTCGTGAGTGACCTCTGCACCCCCCCAGGGTCAATACAAAGCCACCGAGCCGGGGGGGGCCGCGGCCTCCCCCCGCAGCCGTCCCCTCCAGCCACCGCATTGGGCAGCCAGCCGTCTCTGGGAGCCAATCACGGGCCGAGGTCGGGGTCATGTGACAGCGGGCGGGCGTGGGCAGGAGGAGCCTATGACTTAGGAGTCTCGCTGCCCTTTGGTCAAAAGAGCAGGAGAGGGGGGGGGGAGCAGAGTCAGGGGGGGCCCGCACGGCACCCGCGCACACACACACACACACGTACACACACACCACATACGTACACACCACACAAGTACACACACACACGTGCACACCACACACGTACACACACGCCACACACGTACACACACACGTACACACACATACACACACGTACACACACACGTACACACACGTACACACACACACGTACACACACACACGTACACACACACCACACATACACACACACACGTACACACACACACCACACACACACACACACGTACACACACGTACACACACACCACACATACACACACACAAGTACACACACACGTACACACACGTACACACACGTACACACACACCACACATACACACACACAAGTACACACACACACGTACACACACACGTACACACACACGTACACACACACACACGTACACACACACCACACATACACACACACACGTACACACACACACGTACACACACGTACACACACACACGTACACACACGTACACACACACACGTACACACACGTACACACACACACGTACACACACGTACACACACACACACGTACACACCACACACACACACACACACACGTACACACCACACACGCACACACACACACGTACACACACACGTACACACACACGTACACACCACACACGTACACACACACACACACGTACACACACACACACGTACACACCACACACGTACACACACGTACACACCACACACGTACACACACACGTACACACACACCCACGTACACACACACGTACACACACCACACGTACACACACACGTACACACACGTACACACACACCACACATACACACACGTACACACACACGTACACACACACACGTACACACACACGTACACACACGTACGCACACGTACACACACACACGTACACACACACGTACACACACACACGTACACACACACACACACCACATACACGCGCACACACTCACACATGTACAAGAAAAAGATCCCCCGTGTAGCCTGTGACAGACTGTAGGGGCAAGTGCTGTTAGCGAGTAGCAGCACCTATGAAGGCTACCGGCACTGTACACGAGGGGGTGGGTGGCCAGCAACCACGCCCGGCCGCCTTTGTCTCCCCAGTGGCGGTGTTTACTACACCACCACCACCACCGCTACACCAGGCACTAATTTGAGGCTGAGTCGACCTAGGGGAGGCCCAGGACCGGTTCAGATAATCGCCGTCACTGGTGCTGTTGGCGGCCCTGAGCGGGAATTGAACCTGGGTAGCCGGATTAATAGCGCTAACCAGTACACTACCGCTCCCCCCAACACACACACACACACAAGTACACACGCACACACACACAAGTACACACGCACACACACACGCTCAGATGCACAGCAGTACACACGCGCACACATACAGTGACATACACCCACTGACACTAACACACACACACACACTACACACACACACATACACCAGCACACACGTGTACGCAACAGCACGCGCGTTATACAGGTACCGCCACATACTTGCAAGCGTACACACACACACACGTATACACACACACACGTATACACCGCTGTACACGCACGTACACCCACACGTGTGTGTGTGTGTGTGTCAACTCGCGCGCTGAGGGGGAGGGGGTGGGCCGTGGGGGGAGGGAGGGGGGTGTAGCAATGGACGGAGTTCACGGGACTCCTGAACGACCCCCACCCGCACTCGGCCTCAAGAGCCTGGTCCAGGCTTCACTCACACACGGCGCACAGCCTCACCCATAGCACACAGCCTCACCCCTAGTACACAGCCTCACCCCTAGCGCATAGCCTCACCCCTAGAGCATATCCTCACCCCTAGCGCATATCTTCACCCCTAGCGCATAGCCTCACCCCTAGCGCATAGCCTCACCCCTAGTACACAGCCTCACCCCTAGAGCATATCCTCACCCCTAGCGCATAGCCTCACCCCTAGTACACAGCCTCACCCCTAGCGCATAGCCTCACCCCTAGCGCATAGCCTCACCCCTAGCACACAGCCTCACCCCTAGCACACAGCCTCACCCCTAGCGCATAGCCTCACCCATAGAGCATATCCTCACCCCTAGCGCATAGCCTCACCCCTAGCACACAGCCTCACCCCTAGTACACAGCCTCACCCCTAGCGCATAGCCTCACCCATAGTACACAGCCTCACCCATAGTACACAGCACATAGCCTCACCCCTAGTACACAGCCTCACCCCTAGTACACAGCCTCACCCCTAGTACACAGCCTCACCCATAGTACACAGCCTCACCCCTAGCGCATAGCCTCACCCATAGAGCATAGCCTCACCCCTAGTACACAGCCTCACCCATAGCGCATAGCCTCACCCCTAGCGCATAGCCTCACCCATAGAGCATATCCTCACCCCTAGCGCATATCCTCACCCCTAGCACACAGCCTCACCCATAGTACACAGCCTCACCCCTAGCGCATATCCTCACCCCTAGCACACAGCCTCACCCATAGTACATAGCCTCACCCCTAGCGCATAGCCTCACCCCTAGCACACAGCCTCACCCCTAGCACACAGCCTCACCCCTAACATCTAGACTAACCCTTAGCACGGAGCCTAACCCTTGGCCTAACACCCAGCCTAACCCTAGGCCTAACACCCAGCCTAACCCTAGGCCTAACCCTAGGCCTAACCCTAGGCCTAACCCTAGGCCTAACCCCTGGCCTAACCCTAGGCCTAACACCTAGCCTAACCCTAGGCATAACATCTAGGCCTAACACCTAGCCTAACCCTAGGCCTAACTCTAGGCCTAACACCTAGCCTAACTCTAGGCCTAACACCTAACCTAACACCTAGACTAACCCTCAGCCTAAACCTTGGCCTAACACCTAGCCTAACTCTAGGCCTAACACGAGCCTAACCCTAGGCCTAACACCTAGCCTAACCCTAGGCCTAACACCTAGCCTAACCCTAGGCCTAACTCTAGGCCTAACACCTAGCCTAACTCTAGGCCTAACACCTAACCTAACACCTAGACTAACCCTCAGCCTAAACCTTGGCCTAACACCTAGCCTAACTCTAGGCCTAACACGAGCCTAACCCTAGGCCTAACACCTAGCCTAACCCTAGGCCTAACACCTAGCCTAACCCTAAGCCTAACTCTAGGCCTAACACGAGCCTAACCCTAGGCCTAACACCTAGCCTAACACCTAGACTAACCCTCGGCCTAACCCCTGGCCTAACACCTAGCCTAACCCTAGGCCTAACCCCCTGGCCTAACTCCTAGCCTAACCGTAGGCCAAACACCTAGCCTAACCCTAGGCCTAACACCTAGGCCTAACACCTAGACCTAACACCTAGGCCTAACACCTGAGCTAACCCTAGGCCTAACACCTAGCCTAACCATAGGCCTAACACCTAACCTAACCCTAGGCCTAACTCTAGGCCTAACACCTAGCCTAACCCTAGGCCTAACACCTAGCCTAACCCTAGGTCTAACCCCTGGCCTAACACTTAGCCTGACCCTAGGCCTTACACCTAGCCTAACCCTAGGCCTAACACCTAGCCTAACCCCTAAACACCTAGCCGGACACCTAACCCGATTGATGAGAGGTAGGGGTGAGGGGTAGGGGTGAGAGGTAGGGGTGAGGGGTAAGGGGTGAGAGGTAGGGGTGAGGGGTGAGGGGTGAGGGGTATGGGGTGAGGGGTGAGCGCGAGCGTGTGACTCACCACGCTGTCTGCACCAGGGGCTGGTTCTTGTGGCATTCGAGCACTTGCAGGTAAACCACAATGATCTGGAGGGGACACAGAACGTGGTGAGTGATGCTGGTGGTGAGTGGCGGTGGTGAGTGGCGGTGGTGAGTGGCGGTGGTGGTGTGTATACGGTGTGTGCGGGAGTGGTGAGCGGTGTACACGTTGCAGAATTGGTGGCGAGTGATGGTCGAGCGGTGATAGTGGTGGTCTGCGAGTGGCGGTGATAGTGGTGGTGGTTGTGATGACAGTGGTGGTGGTGATGGTGGGTCTGGTTGTGATGATTGTGGTAATGATGATGATGGTGGCGATGGTGATGATAGTGGCGGTGATGATGGTGATTGTGGTGATGATGAAGATGATAGTGGTGATGGTGATGATAGTGGTGGTGGTTGTGATGACAGTGGTGGTGGTTGTGATGACAGTGGTGGTGATGGTGGGTCTGGTTGTGATGATTGTGGTAATGATGATGGTGGTGATGGTAGTGGCGGTGATGATGGTGATTGTGGTGATGATGAAGATGATAGTGGTGATGGTGATTGTGGTGATGATGAAGATGATGGTGGTGATGGTGATGATAGTGGCGGTGATGATGGTGATTGTGGTGAGGATGAAGATGATGGTGGTGATGGTGATGATAGTGGTGGTGTGATTGTGGTAATGTCGATTGGTGTGGTGAGTGTGGTGAGTGGTGAGTGTTGTGGGTGCTGGTGAGTGCTGGTGAGTGTGGTGAGTGTTGTGAGTGTGGTGAGTGTGGTGAGTGCTGGTGAGTGCTAGCGAGTGCTGGTGAGTGGTGTGTATGGTGCATGCGTGTGCGCGCAATGGTGAGTGGCGTGTACGTTTTGGAATGAGTGGTGGTGAGCAAGTGGTGAGCAAGTGGTGAGCATGTGGTGGTGAGCGAGTGGTGGTGGTTGTGATGGTGATAACAGCGGTGATGGTGGTGAGTAGTGGCGAGTGGTGTGTGGTGTGTGTGTGCGCATACGATGGTGAGCGAGTGGTGTGTACGTTTTGGAATGAGTGGTGGTGAGCGAGCGGTGGTGAGCGAGCGGCGGTGAGCGAGCGGTGGTGAGCGGCGGTGAGCGGTGGTGAGCGAGTGGTGGTGAGCGAGCGGTGTCGGTCGTGATGGCGATGACGACAGTGGCGAGTGCTGTGAGTGTGTGCGCGCGCGATGGTGAGCGCCGGTGCTGGTGAGTGGTGGCGATGGGGTGAGCGGTGGTGAGTGGTGGTGAGTGGTGGTCCTGGTGAGTGGTGGCGATGGGGTGAGCGGTGGTGGTGCTGGTGAATGGTGGCGATGGGGTGAGGCGGTGGTGAGCGAGCGGTGGTGAGTGGCGGTGCTGGTGAGTGGTGGCGATGAGGTGAGCGGTGGTGAGTGGTGGTGCTGGTGAATGGTGGCGATGGGGTGAGGCGGTGGTGAGCGAGCGGTGGTGAGTGGCGGTGCTGGTGAGTGGTGGCGATGGGGTGAGCGGTGGTGGTGCTGGTGAATGGTGGCGATGGGGTGAGGCGGTGGTGAGCGAGCGGTGGTGAGTGGCGGTGCTGGTGAGTGGTGGCGATGGGGTGAGCGGTGGTGAGTGGTGGTGCTGGTGAGTGGTGGTGCTGGTGAGTGGTGGCGATGGGGTGAGCGGTATTGAGTGGTGGTGCTGGTGAGTGGTGGTGCTGGTGAGTGGTGGCGATGGGGTGAGCGGTATTGAGTGGTGGTGCTGGTGAGTGGTGGCGATGCGGTGAGGCGGTGGTGAGTGACCTTGTGGGGGTGCTGGTGAGTGGTGGGGTGAGCGGTGGTGCTGGTGAGTGGTGGTGGGGTGAGCGGTGGTGAGTGACCTTGTGGGGGTGCTGGTGAGTGGTGGTGGGTGAGCGGTGGTGAGTGACCTTGTGGTGGTGCTGGTGGTGAGTGGGGGTGCTGGTGGTGAGTGGTGGTGCTGGTGGTGAGCGGTGGTGCTGGTGGTGAGCGGTGGTGCTGGTGGTGAGTGGTGGTGCTGGTGGTGAGTGGTGGTGCTGGTGGTGAGTGGTGGTGGGTGACCTTGTGGGGGTGCTTGACGTGCACACAAAATCCCAGCTCCTTCAGGATCCGGCGCTCACTCTTGATCAGCTCATTCTTGGTGTTAATGTAGCCCTGGTCCAGGGTTAGGGGTGAGGGTACTCTGCACCACCACCATCACAACGACAACAACCACCATCACCATCGCCACCACCACCACCACCACATCATCACTACCATCATCGTCGTCGTCATCACCACCATCACCACCATCACCATCACCACCATCACCACCATCACCATCGTCACCACCACCACCACCACATCATCACTACCATCATCGTCGTCGTCATCACCACCATCACCACCATCACCAGCATCACCACCATCACCAGCATCACCACCATCACATCATCACCACCACCATCATCATCATCATCACCATCACCACCACCATCACCACCATCAACACCACCACCATCACCACCATCATCATCACCACCATCATCACCACCACCACCATCATCATCATCATCACCACGATCATCACCACCACCATCACCACCATCATCATCATCACTACCATCATCGTCGTCGTCATCACCATCACCACCATCACCCACATCATCACCATCACCACCATCACCACCACCACCATCATCATCATCACTACCATGATCGTCGTCATCACCACCACCACCACATTATCACCACCACCATCATCACCATCACCACATCATCATCATCATCACTACCGTCATCACCACCACCACCACCACCATCACCGGTGGTGGATTCCCACTGACCAGTTTGTGCGTAGCTGCTACTGCAGGTGATGAAACACGTTCATGGCATCACGCTTTCTCCTCCGCGTTGGTGATGGCCGTGGTAGTGGTGAGGGTTGTGTCTGCGGTGGTGGCAGTGATGGTGGTGGTGGTGATGGTCGCGGTGGCGGTGATGGTTGTGGCCGTGGCGGTGTGTGGGGGGAGCGGCGGTGGTAGCGGTGAGCGCGCCGCGCTACCAACCCGGCGATCCGAGTTCGATTCCAGCCGACACCGGCGACGATTATCTGAACCGGTCCTGGGCCTCCCCTAGGTCGGCTCAGGCTCAAATGAGTAGCTGGTGCGGTGTAGTGTGTGGTAAACATCGACCACTGGGGAGACAAAGGCGGCCGGGCGTGGTGCTGGCCACCCACCCCCTCTGTGTGTGACCCACAGTGCCGGCCTTCATAGGTGCTGACGAACAGCACTTGCCCCAACATATGGGGAGATATCTTTGTCTTTGGTAGTGATGGTGGCAGTGGTAGTAGTGATGGTTGCGGTAGTGATGGTTGTGGTAGTGATGGTAGTGGTAGTCCTGGTTATGGTGGTGGTGGCGGCTGTGGTAGCATTGGTGGTGGTAGTAATGGTGGTGGCGGTGGTAGTGGTGGCTGTGGTAGTAGTGGTGGTGGTAGCTGTAGTAGTGGTGGTGGTAGTGGTGGCTGTGGTAGCTGTAGTGGTGGTGGTGGTGGTAGTGATGGTTGTGGTAGTAGTGGTGGTGGTAGTGGTGGCTATGGTAGCTGTAGTAGTGGTGGTGATGGTTGTGGTATTCCTGGTTATGGTGGTTGTAGTAGTTATGGTGGTGGTGGTAGTGGTGGCTGTGGTGGTAGTGGTGGTAGTGATGGTGCTGATGGTGGCGGTGATAGTGATGGCTGTGGTAATGGTAGTAGTGGTGGTGGTGGTAGTGATGGTGCTGGTGGCGATAGTGATGGCTGTGGTAGTGGTAGTAGTGATGGTGGTGGTAGTGATGGTGGTGATGGTAGTAATGGTGCTGGTGGTGGCGGTGATAGTGATGGCTGTGGTAGTGACAGTAGTGATGGTGGTAGTAATGGTGGCAGTGGTAGTAGTGATGGTGGTGGTAGTGATGGCTGTGGTAGTGGTAGTAGTGATGGTGGTGGAAGTAGTAGTCGTAGTGATGGTGCTGGTGGTGGCAGTGATAGCGATGGCTGTGGTAGTGACAGTAGTGATGGTGGTGATGGTGGTAGTGATGGTGGTCTTAGTGATGGTGGCGGTGATAGTGATGGCTGTGGTAGTGGTGGTAGTAGTAGTGATGGCGGTGGTAGTAGTGATGGTGGTAGTAGTGATGGTGGTAGTAGTGATGGTGGTCGTAGTGATGGCTGTGGTAGTGGTGGTAGTAGTAGTGATGGTGGCGGTAGTGATGGTGGTAGTGATGGTGGCAGTGATAGTAATGGCTGTGGTAGTAGTAGTGATGGTGGTGGTAGTAGTGATGGCGGCGGTAGTAGTGATGGCAGCGGTAGTGATGGTGGCGGTAGTGATGGTGGCAGTAGTGATGGTGGTGGTAGTGATGGTGGTCGTAGTGATGGTGGTGGTAGTGATGGTGGTCGTAGTGATGGTGGTGGTAGTGATGGTGGCAGTAGTGATGGTGGCAGTAGTGATGGTGGTAATAGTGATGGTGGTGGTAGTGATGGCGGCGGTAGTGATGGTGGCGGTAGTGATGGTGGCGGTAGTGGCGGTAGTGATGGTGGCAGTAGTGATGGTGGCGGTAGTGATGGTGGCGGTAGTGATGGTGGTAATAGTGATGGTGGCGGTAGTGATGGTGGTAGCGATGGTGGCGGTAGTGATGGTGGTAATAGTGATGGCGGTGGTAGTAGTGATGGTGGCGGTAGTGATGGTGGCGGTAGTGGCGGTAGTGATGGCGGTGGTAGTAGTGATGGTGGCGGTAGTGATGGTGGTGGTAGTGATGGTGGTCGTAGTGATGGTGGTGGTAGTGATGGTGGTCGTAGTGATGGTGGCGGTAGTGATGGTGGTGGTAGTGATGGTGGTGGTAGTGATGGTGGCGGTAGTGATGGTGGTAGCGATGGTGGCGGTAGTGATGGTGGTAATAGTGATGGCGGTGGTAGTAGTGATGGTGGCGGTAGTGATGGTGGCGGTAGTGGCGGTAGTGATGGCGGTGGTAGTAGTGATGGTGGCGGTAGTGATGGTGGTGGTAGTGATGGTGGTCGTAGTGATGGTGGTGGTAGTGATGGTGGTCGTAGTGATGGTGGCGGTAGTGATGGTGGTGGTAGTGATGGTGGTAGCGATGGTGGCGGTAGTGATGGTGGTAATAGTGATGGTGGCGGTAGTGATGGTGGCGGTAGTGATGGTGGCGGTAGTGATGGTGGTAGTAGTGATGGTGGTAATAGTGATGGTGGCGGTAGTGATGGTGGCGGTAGTGATGGTGGTGGTAGTGATGGTGGTCGTAGTGATGGTGGTGGTAGTGATGGTGGTCGTAGTGATGGTGGCGGTAGTGATGGTGGTGGTAGTGATGGTGGTAGCGATGGTGGCGGTAGTGATGGTGGTAATAGTGATGGTGGCGGTAGTGATGGTGGCGGTAGTGATGGTGGCGGTAGTGATGGTGGCGGTAGTGATGGTGGTAATAGTGATGGTGGCGGTAGTGATGGTGGCGGTAGTGATGGTGGTGGTAGTGATGGTGGTAATAGTGATGGTGGTGGTAGTGATGGCGGTAATAGTGATGGTGGCGGTAGTGATGGTGGCGGTAGTGATGGTGGTAGTAGTGATGGTGGCGGTAGTGATGGTGGCGGTAGTGATGGTGGCGGTAGTGGCGGTAAAAGTGATGGCGGTGGCAGTAGTGATGGTGGCGGTAGTGATGGTGGTGGTAGTGATGGTGGTAGCGATGGTGGCGGTAGTGATGGTGGTAATAGTGATGGTGGTGGTAGTGATGGTGGTAGCGATGGTGGCGGTAGTGATGGCGGTGGTAGTAGTGATGGTGGCGGTAGTGATGGTGGCGGTAGTGATGGTGGTAATAGTGATGGTGGTGGTAGTGATGGTGGTAGCGATGGTGGCGGTAGTGATGGTGGTAATAGTGATGGTGGTGGTAGTGATGGTGGTAGCGATGGTGGCGGTAGTGATGGTGGTAATAGTGATGGCGGTGGTAGTAGTGATGGTGGCGGTAGTGATGGTGGCGGTAGTGATGGTGGCGGTAGTGATGGTGGTAGTGATGGTGGCGGTAGTGATGGTGGTAGTAGTGATGGTGGCGGTAGTGATGGTGGTAATAGTGATGGTGGCGGTAGTGATGGTGGCGGTAGTGATGGTGGTAGTGATGGTGGCGGTAGTGATGGTGGTAGTGATGGTGGCGGTAGTGATGGTGGTAGTAGTGATGGCGGTGGTAGTAGTGATGGTGGCGGTAGCGACGGTAGCGGCGACGGCGTCTACCGGTTGGTGCGGAGCTGCCGCAGGTGGTGGAACACGTTGATGACGTCCCGGTTCCTTCGTGGGGCCTCCTCGATCTTGGCGGCCAGGTTGACGCACGACATCGCCACCACCTGCGGGGGGGGCAAGTGGCCGGTCAGCGGCGAGAGCGCCTACGAAGGGCCGCCTTTGTATCCCCCCGGCGGCGGTGGAGATGTTTGCACACCGCGCCATGGTGCTCGCTTGAGTCCGGGTCGACCCTAGCGAACTCGGGGGCCGCCGCCGGGGGTCAGTGGGCATAGCGTGGCACAGCGCCACAGCACCACACACACACAGCACCACACACACACACAGCACCACACACACACACAGCACCACACACACACACACAGCACCACACACACACACACAGCACCACACACACACACAGCACCGCACACACACACAGCACCGCACACACACACAGCACCGCACACACACACAGCACCACACACACACACAGCACCACACACACACACACACAGCACCACACACACACACAGCACCACACACACACACAGCACCACACACACACACACAGCACCACACACACACACAGCACCACACACACACACAGCACCGCACACACACAGCACCACACACACACACAGCACCACACACACACACAGCACCACACACACACACAGCACCACACACACACACAGCACCGCACACACACAGCACCGCACACACACAGCACCACACACAGCACCACACACACACAGCACCGCACACACACAGCACCGCACACACACAGCACCGCACACACACAGCACCACACACACACACAGCACCACACACACACACAGCACCACACACACACAGCACCACACACACACAGCACCACACACACACACAGCACCACACACACACACAGCACCACACACACACACAGCACCACACACACACACAGCACCACACACACACACAGCACCACACACACACACAGCACCACACACACACAGCACCACACACACACAGCACCACACACACACAGCACCACACACACACACAGCACCACACACACACACAGCACCACACACACACACAGCACCACACACACACACAGCACCACACACACACAGCACCACACACACACAGCACCACACACACACAGCACCACACACACACACAGCACCACACACACACACAGCACCACACACACACAGCACCACACACACACACAGCACCACACACACAGCACCACACACACACATAGCACCACACACACACACAGCACCACACACACACACACAGCACCACACACACACACACAGCACCACACACACACACACAGCACCACACACACACACAGCACCACACACACACACAGCACCACACACACACACAGCACCACACACACACACAGCACTACACACACACAGCACCACACACACACACAGCACCACACACACACACAGCACCACACACACACACAGCACCACACACACACACAGCACCACACACACACACAGCACCACACACACACACAGCACCACACACACACACAGCACCACACACACACACAGCACCACACACACACAGCACCACACACACACACAGCACCACACACACAGCACCACACACACACACAGCACCACACACACACACAGCACCACACACACACACACAGCACCACACACACACACACAGCACCAACACACACCACACAGCACCACACACACACACAGCACCACACACACACACAGCACCACACACACACACAGCACCACACACACACACAGCACCACACACACACACAGCACCACACACACACACAGCACCACACACACACACAGCACCACACACACACACACCACCACACACACACACAGCACCACACACACACACAGCACCACACACACACACAGCACCACACACACACACAGCACCACACACACACACAGCACCACACACACACACAGCACCACACACACACACACAGCACCACACACACACACAGCACCACACACACACACAGCACCACACACACACACAGCACCACACACACACACAGCACTACACACACACAGCACCACACACACACACAGCACCACACACACACACAGCACCACACACACACACAGCACCACACACACACACAGCACCACACACACACACAGCACCACACACACACAGCACCACACACACACACAGCACCACACACACAGCACCACACACACACACAGCACCACACACACACACAGCACCACACACACACACACAGCACCACACACACACACACAGCACCACACACACACACAGCACCACACACACACACAGCACCACACACATACACACAGCACCACACACACACAGCACCACACACATACACACAGCAACACACACAGCACCACACACACACACAGCACCACACACACACACAGCACTATACAAATACACACAGCACCACACACACACACAGCACCACACACACACACAGCACCACACACACACACAGCACCACACACACACACAGCACCACACACACACACAGCACCACACACACACACAGCACCACACACACACACAGCACCACACACACACACAGCACCACACACACACACACACACACACACACACACAGCACCACACACACACACAGCACCACACACACACAGCACCACACACACACACAGCACCACACACACACACAGCACCACACACACACACAGCACCACACACACACACAGCACCACACACACACACAGCACCACACACACACACAGCACCACACACACACAGCACCACACACACACAGCACCACACACACACAGCACCACACACACACACAGCACCACACACACACAGCACCACACACACACAGCACCACACACACACAGCACCACACACACACAGCACCACACACACACAGCACCACGCACACACAGCACCACGCACACACAGCACCACGCACACACAGCACCACGCACACACAGCACCACGCACACACAGCACCACACACACACAGCACCACACACACACAGCACCACACACACACAGCACCACACACAGCGTGCAGGGCCGCACGAAGTGCAGTTACAGCGCCCACCTACTCACCCACCCACTCACCCACTCATTCACCCGCTCCTTCAATTACTCACTCACCCCTTCAATCACTCACCCACCCACTCACCCGCTCACTCGCCCACCCCTTCATTCACCCACTCACCCACTCATTCACCCGCTCACTCACCCACCCACTCACCCACCCACTCACCCACTCATTCACCCGCTCACTCGCCCACCCCTCCAATCACTCACCCACTCATTCACCCGCTCACTGGCCCACCCCTTCAATCACTGACTCACCCACTCATTCACCCGCTCACTGGCCAACCCCTTCAATCACCCACTCACCCACTCATTCACCCGCTCACTCGCCCACCCCTTCAATCACCGACTCACCCACTCATTCAACCGCTCACTCGCCCACCCCTCCAATCACTCACTCACCCACTCATTCACCCGCTCACTGGCCCACCCCTTCAATCACTGACTCACCCACCCACCCACCCGACCATCCCCCCCCCGTCCGGTCGCCCACCCACCTACCCGCCCGCTCACCCGCTCAACTGCTCGCCCAGCCACCCGCTCGCCGACCCACCCTCCTGCTCACCCGATCACCCACCCACTCGCCCGCCCACCCACCCACCCACTCACCCACCGGACCATCCGCCCGTCTGATCACCCACTCACTCACCCACCCACCCGCTCGCCCACCCACTCTCTCGCCCACCCACTCTCTCACCCAACCAATCACCGACCCACCCACTCACCCGCTTACCCACCCACCCACCCGCTCACCCACCCACCCGCCCGCTCACCCATCCACCCACTCTTTCACCAACTCCGTCAACCAACCAAACAGCCACCCACTCTGTCACCCACCCACCTCCATGTTGTGCTTAATGAAGGACTTTGAGTAGTAAAACCGTTGGAAGAGCACCTGGCCCGTCGCCATCGCCACCTGACGGTCACATCAACAACATCAACATCACCATCATCACCATCATAACCAACATCACCATCATAACCATCAACAACATAATCAACATCAACATCACCACCACCATCAACCACATCATCACCATCAACCACACCATCGACATCACCGCCACCAACAACATCATCGCCACCATCAACATCACCGCCACCATCAACATCACCTTCAACAACATCAGTATCACCAGTCATCAACATCACCATAAAATAGCATCAACATCACCACCACCACCATCATTAACATCATAATCACCATCATCATCACTACCACCATCAAATCCATCAAGTCCATCAATACCATCAACATCATCACTACCACCAACGCCATCATCATCACCATCATTCACATCATTAACATCATAATCACCACCATCAGCACCGTCATCACCATCACTACCACCATCATCAACATCACCACAATCAGCATCACCACCGTCATCACCACTCGTCACTGCATGTACCACGTGACGGTTGTGTGACCATACTTCACCACGCCGGTCAATAAATGTTGAGTGAACGGCGAGTAATAGTAAACTAAACTATTAACTATTGTACCGGGTGTAAGGCCACCGCATAGAGACCCATACTCAAAGAGACCCACACTCATAGGGACCCACAGAGACTCATTGAGAACCATACTCACAGAGACCCATACAGACCCAGAGAGACCCATACTCACAGAGACCCATACAGACCCACAGAGACCCATACTCACAGAGACCCATACAGACCCACTGAGACCCATACTCAAAGAGACCCATACAGACCCAGAGAGACCCATACTCAAAGAGACCCATACAGACCCACGGAGACCCATACTCATAGAGACCCATACAGACCCACAGAGACCCATACTCATAGGGACCCACAGAGACTCATTGAGAACCATACTCACAGAGACCCATACAGACCCACAGAGACCCATACTCATAGAGACCCATACAGACCCAGAGAGACCCATACTCAAAGAGACCCATACAGACCCACAGAGACCCATACTCATAGAGACCCATACTCATAGAGACCCATACAGACCCAGAGCCCCATACAGACCCACAGAGACCCATACAGACCCAGAGACCCATACAGACCCACAGAGACCCACAGAGACCCATACAGACCCACAGAGATCCACAAAGACCCATACAGACCCACAGAGACCCATACAGACCCACAGAGACCCATACAGACCCACAGAGACCCATACAGACCCACAGAGACCCATACAGACCCACAGAGACCCATACAGACCCACAGAGATCCACAAAGACCCATACAGACCCACAGAGACCCATACAGACCCACAAAGACCCACACTCATTGAGATCCATACAGACCCACAGAGACCCATACAGACCCACAGAGACCCATACAGACCCACAGAGACCCATAGTTCATAGTTCATTTATTTTGGTATAGCCCTGTGAGCCATTCGGCTCTTGAATCGGGTGCAACCGCAACAAACAAAAAACATGAACAAGAAAACATCTTAAAGTGACTTTGTGTGACTGTGCAAACAGAAAATACAGGAAAAAAAAACATCAAAATATTCCTGAAATAGCTCCGTTACACCAACGCTGTGTGCAAAAATCCCAGTGGGATGCAAGTCAAACAACAACAACAACCACAAGACAACTAAGATTAAAGCCATCAGTCTAACTCCGTACTACAATAAACAAAAACATGGCCAAAACAAACAAAAAACCTTTTCGAAATCACCAAAATAAAAGCCATAAATCCAATGTAACAGTGATCATAGGGACTGTGACCGAATTTTTAACAATAAACTACATAAATAAATTATAACACCAAAATCTAGAGCCATATTTTAGGCCACTGAATAGCAGTGGCAGCTAGCGTTGTACAACTCCTCTAGAGCAGTTTTGAGTGAAGATCTCATAGGTAGTGATTCGAGTTGCAGTTTATTGGCAATAGCATTCCAGACCCTGGGGGCATCAATAGCAAAGGCCCTTCCTCCAGTTTTTGTACGGCAATAAGGGAATGTGAAGCTGGTAAATGAGCGAAGACCTGAGGTCAAATTTGTTCTTTGAAACAGAGAGGAGATCCAGTAGGTAGTCTGCGGAATTTTTTGTAAGTACATCGTGAATAAATAAGATCTGGTGCACAGTCCGTCGAACATTAAGAGATCTTAAGTTTGACCCAATATAGAGATCACAGTGGTCAGTCCTATATGGGCAGTTCAATGCAAATCTTAAGGCCGAGTGATGGATGGAATCAAGCTTCTTCAGTACAGTACTTGGGGCTGATTTATACACGATGTCACAGTAGTCAAGTAGAGGCGGTATGGTAGCTTTTATCAATTCCAAACGGAACATTGGGCGGAAGCAGTGCTTGTGTCGATACAGAAAACCAATTTTTATTTTTGTCTTTTTACCAATATAATCAATGTGATCTTCAAAACTAAGTTTTGAATCCAGGATGACTCCAAGAAACCTATAGATCTTGACTTGCTCTATTTGATAATTTTTCAAGGAATGTAATTGGGGAAAAATAACTTCCTGGTTTAGTCCCGGAGAGAAGCATAGCACCTTGGTTTTGGAGGTATTCAGGACTAGTTTAAGAGAAACTAGCTGATGTTGCAGTTTGTTGAAATCACCCTGGAGCTCAGCAATCACGTCATCCGGAGAGCGGCCAGCAGTAATCAGCATCGTGTCATCTGCAAAAAAATTTACCCTGGAATGATCCAGTTTAGTGCCCAAGTCATTGACATAAAGAGAGAACAAGAGGGGGCCGAGGATGGAACCCTGTGGAACCCCTTTTGTTATCTTAACACTGTTTGACCTCCAACCATCTGTGAATACAGCTTGGGTGCGGGAAAAGAGGGAATTTTTTAACCATTGTACTGTGTTCTCGGAAAAACCGAGGCAACTTAGTTTACTAAGCAGGATGTTGTGGTCTACTGTATCAAAAGCTTTGGACAGGTCAAGAAAAAGACAGGCGCAGTACTGCTTATTAACAAGGCTATTGTAAATTTGATTCAAAGAGTCTAATGCATTGAGACCCATACAGACCCACAGAGACTCATACTCATAGAGACCCATACAGACCCACAAAGACCAACATTCATTGAGACCCATACAGACCCACAAAGACCCATACTCAGAGACCCATACAGACCCACAAAGACCCACTCATAGAGACCCATACCGACCCACACAGACCCATAATCATAGAGACCCATACAGACCCAGAGAGACCCATACTCATAGAGACCCATACAGACCCACAGAGACCCATACTCATAGAGACCCATACAGACCCACAGAGACCCATACTCATAGAGACCCATACAGACCCACAAAGACCCATACTCATAGAGACCCATACAGACCCACAGAGACCCGTACTCATTGAGACCGATACAGACCCACAGAGACCCATACAGACCCACAGAGACCCATACAGATCCACAAAGACCCAAACTCATTGAGACCCATACAGACCCACAGAGACCCATACTCAGAGACCCATACAGACCCACAGAGACCCATACAGACCCACAGAGACCCACACTCATTGAGACTCATACAGACCCACAGAGACCCATACAGATCCACAAAGACCCACACTCATTGAGACCCATACAGACCCACAGAGACCCATACTCATAGAGACCCATACAGACCCACAGAGACCCATACTCATTGAGACCCATAGAGACCCACAGAGACCCATACTCATAGAGACCCATACAGACCCACAGAGACCCATACTCATAGAGACCCATACAGACCCACAGAGACCCATACTCATAGAGACCCATACAGACCCACAGAGACCCATACTCATTGAGACCCATACAGACCCACAGACCCATACTCATTGAGACCCATACAGACCCACAGAGACCCATACTCATAGAGACCCATACAGACCCACAGAGACCCATACTCATTGAGACCCATACAGACCCACAGACCCATACTCATTGAGACCCATACAGACCCACAGAGACCCATACAGACCCACAGACACCCATACAGACCTACAAAGACCCACACTCATTGAGACCCATACAGACCCACAGAGACCCATACTCAGAGACCCATACAGACCCACAGAGACCCATACTCATTGAGACCCATACAGATCCACAAAGACCCACACTCATTGAGACCCATACAGACCCACAGAGACCCATACTCATAGAGACCCATACAGACCCACAGAGACCCATACTCATTGAGACCCAGAGACCCACAGAGACCCATACTCATTGAGACCCATACAGACCCACAGAGACCCACACTCATTTAGACTCGTACAGACCCACAGAGACCCATAGAGACCCACAGAGACCCATACTCATTGAGACCCATACAGACCCACAGAGACACACACTCATTTAGACTCATACAGACCCATACAGATCCACAAAGACCCAAACTCATTGAGACCCATACAGACCCACAGAGACCCATACTCAGAGACCCATACAGACCCACAGAGACCCATACAGACCCACAGAGACCCACACTCATTGAGACTCATACAGACCCACAGAGACCCATACAGATCCACAAAGACCCACACTCATTGAGACCCATACAGACCCACAGAGACCCATACTCATAGAGACCCATACAGACCCACAGAGACCCATACTCATTGAGACCCATAGAGACCCACAGAGACCCATACTCATAGAGACCCATACAGACCCACAGAGACCCACTCATAGAGACCCATACAGACCCACAGAGACACATACTCATAGAGACCCATACAGACCCACAGAGACCCATACTCATTGAGACCCATACAGACCCACAGACCCATACTTATTGAGACCCATACAGACCCACAGAGACCCATACAGACCCACAGAGACCCATACAGACCTACAAAGACCCACACTCATTGAGACCCATACAGACCCACAGAGACCCATACTCAGAGACCCATACAGACCCACAGAGACCCATACTCATTGAGACCCATACA